TGGCGAGGCGCCGCTCGGCGGCGCTGGGGGTGGTGGGCAGCGAGCTGAGGGTGGAGCACAGGCGTCTCAGGTGGATCCGATCCCAATGGTCATGGCTATCTTGACTCAGGTGGAATCCGCGATAGTGGGGAATTTGACATGTTTCTGCCAGTGCGTTGAGGTTTTGGGGGGTTCCAAATTTTGAAGTGAAGCAGGATCTTCAGTTCATTGTGGTATATGGCACACACTTGAATCAAGCAAGTGCACGCAAGAATTGTTAATTGCATCTCCCAGCCCATTGTCATGCAAAAGAACATGGCGGGACCTAACGATGAGCCTCACAAGAAGGTGTGGTGGACAAAACAAAGAGAAACCAGCTAGCCACCAGTTAAGGTCGCCAAGCCCAAGCTCCTTCCTTGTTCGGTCCAAAGCACGTCAGATCTGCTGGCGACAAGCTTGTGACCACTTCCGCCAGTCGCTCGCACAGACCCTCGTGCAAGGCGCTGTCGTCGCTGGGCCGACGCACATGGGCGAAGACGTCCAGGGTCGAGGTGAGGCCGCTGGGAGACAAAACCATCAGCTCCTGTGAGCTTTTCTGGCACCGACAGTGGCACGTGCGACAGTCGCACTGAAACACGTCACCGCGTCAAAGTGACAGTAAGAGTAGACTGAAGGTTCCGAATTGACCCAACTTGTCACGAATGTGTGCTAGCGCTCCTGGTCACCCAGGCCAGGCAAAACCGATGGCTTGTAAAGAAGCTGCATGAGAAACCCCTTTGTTCAAGCCGATGGGCTGTTGTTTTGCTCAATTGAGTCTCATATGGTCCCCGGTTTCTTCACACTGCATGGACAGGATTTCACTATATTCTAACCCTACTTCAACCACACGACCCATGCCGACCCTGCTTCCAACCAAGACTCGTTCTCCATGCGATATGCCAGGGCTCTCCAGGCACGCGGGTCTGTCTGCTCGAAGTGGAAGAGACACCACGCGGCATCCAGCAAGGCCTGAATCAAATGGCGGTGACTCACAGGGCCACAGGCTTTGATCTGATTTCTCATGCTTTCTCCCTACCTCTTGAGAAGAGACTGTTCTGTCCCATCAGTATGACAAGATCACCATGGGTGGAGTATGATAAGATCACGAACCGCAGCACCTTGGGCGTCCAAATCATCTCCCAATCTCTTCGAAGCAAACGCCTGCGTTCTGCCGATGGCGCCAGAGGGGTCATGAAGGGTCGTTGAAACCCTCCGACGCAAAAATCGGTCTCCAGGCAATCTCTCGATTTCACATGCAATGATCAACATTCAGAACCCAGCGATGTAAAACGATGCAAAACATCCCCCCCTCTTCCTAGCTTCAGTTCTGCCCACCCCGCGCAGAAACCTTGCTGCACCCAACGCAGAACTTCTTCGCTTCGCGCAACGCGCAGAAGTTAGAGAAATCAGTTCCGCCCACCGCGGCCTCACGTAGGTGAGGAAGAGATCATTCCTCAAGCCCAGCACCTTCACTGCTTCACAAATAGCACCCACTTCCTGGCCGCTCACTGCCTGATCTGCGTGAATTGAGCGGCCAGGTCGGTGGCCGGTGGCCGCGTGGCACCCGCCAAGCACACCCGCGGTTCTCCCGTGTGGCTTCTTCTCACCGGTTGGAAAGGGTGATTTGGTCAGTTTGGAACTTGGCATCTTCCAGAATCTTCCATCTATCCAACTAGAGAATGCAAATAGTTTATTATATATACTACATGTTTAATAGCCTTAAGATGCCTTAAGACTCCCTCGTGGCTACTGTACATGCCACTCGGTCACTCGTCCTCGCTTCAGATTCGCCAGGGCACGGCTCCGGCATGCTGGCGCACCAGAAGCTCCTGTGCAGCCTTCATCACCAAGTCATCCACCTACTTCCGCGGCAGGAGATTCAAGTCAGTCTGGGAGGATGCTCATGGAACTATGTAAGCAGTGCTCTTTTTTGCAGTGGGTTTTAGATTGTGTGTTGTAATCTTTTCTTGACTTCTTGGATAGTTATCTTTCAACATTGTGTTTAATCCATGTTTAGGCCCAAGGGAGTTGCTTCAGAAACTTGAGGCCCATGTGCCAATGGGCCCTTGCTGAATTTTTGGGAATGCTTCTCTCTCGCTTGCTCTCACTTGCTCTACCAGGGATCGTCAACTTGAAGAGCAATCATCACCTGAAAACCAAGCCCCAAACCGGCTTGTAGCTTCTTGCTCCTAGTAATAGTAGCGATGCCCTTCGTTGCTAGTAGCTTCTTGTTACGAACGCCGCAGCATGTCCCCCGCGCATGCGACCGCGCCCGCCTGCCGCCGAAGGGGTGGCACAGCGGCGACCATCTCGGCAGAGCCTGAAAGCCCAGATGCTCCGGGGAACAACATCATTGCTTAGTATACTATATACAGGCCTGCTCAATTAGATACTTCTGGTCAGTAAAAAGGGTCCTTGATTGCCTGACGGGGTCAGAATTGTCACGCTGGGAAGCTGGGAAGGAGATCCTGCCCAGTCGTCATGCCAGATCCTCCTAGACTTCAGCGCTGTGCAACCCCGATAGCTCCCTGGTTTCAACAGGTTCCAAGGTACGTGCCAGCCAGTTGCTGACGCTCGCCAAATGCTTCATGGAGCACCTCTCGGAGCGGCGAAGCATCTCCTTGAGGCAAGAAAGACATGCAGTCTTTCTGTGTCTTCAGGGGCAGGTTGAGCGCATAAAAAGCGTGAGGTAGGTTGAGAGCCCAATTAGACATGATCATAGTACGTTATAGGTGATGTTAGGTGTCCTTTCAGGAATCTCAAGAAGTGTTTGTGGGGATGTCCGCGCCTGACGACGTATGGCTTGGGGAGATTGCACAACAAATCAAACCAAACCCGGACGCATGAAGTGCAAATGCAATAGTTTGGAATCTGATCTGCCAACATACCTGGCACTTCAGAGCTGACAGCTCATAGCAAATCGCTTCAAATCATGAGATTTGCAGCTGCCAAAAGGGTAGTACCAACCCCAAATGTTGTTGGAGATTCGGCCTCCCCTCCAAGGGTCCAGCAAACTGCACTTTGGAACTCCTGCTATCTCTCCGATCCCTTCTAGGTCAAAACACTCCGTGTCTAGTAGTCTCCTGAAAAATGGACTGTTGTTTCACGAGTGACAAAGAGATGGAATATATAACGATCACAAGGGGGCAATAAAGAGATGGAATTATCAAGACCGACCAACCGACCAGCCAAGAGATGGAATACTATGGAATACTCAAGACCGTGAACGAATCAAGAGAAGAATGAAAGACCGACATGAACGCAGTGGAGTCTGAAAACCCACTTGCACCAAACACTCAGTTGAAGGCTTCGGACTAGCAGCGACTAGCACGTTCGGCGGAGGAAGGCCAGGCGGATGAACGGCTCTCTTCGGGTTCATCGGGTCCTTCACCACCAAGTCGAAGAGCCGGAACGATCCCCGGTGGCACGCCGCCGAGAACCTAGGCTGGGCGCGGCTGGGGGAGTGGGGGAGCAAGTCGGCAGTTAGTCGGCAGTTCTCCCCATAAATGAAGGAATTACAGTAACATGAATTAAGTTGCAATGATGAATAATATAAGCATATCATGTTTACAAGAATGGAACAGTGAAGATAATGTTGACATGTTCACCGATATGTTGTAATATGTTGTAAATGTTCTCTTTTCGCACTCAGGAGTGTGGCATTAGAACAAAAAAGAACCAATCCCGGAGAAGAAACACTAGCCCTTCACTAAAAAGAAACACTCCGGTGAGTGTTTCTGCTTTCATCTGCTTTCCACAGAAACTAACGCCTTGTATCCGGGATACTCCACGGGGATTGTTCCACTCCTTCCGAAACGAACGATGCATCGATCTATGCATCGACCCGGCCGATCCAACTCAGTGGCTCCGTGTTCCGAAGGCGGTAGAGGCTCTGGGCAGAGGAGAAGAGCGCCACATTGTCCAGCTCACCCTGCTGGGCCAAGTGGAAGATCTCTTTGAGGGCAGTGGACCTCGGGTTTTGCTTCTGTCTGCTCCGACTTGAATCAACTTGCCAGGAATCAACATGGGTATGGGTATGTAATGGTATGTATGCAATTCCACAGGGAGACCACCAAGCAATGGAATTGGGTCAACGTTCCTTCTTTCCAGGAGGTCTTTGGGGGATTCCGCATCCAAATCAAACGCAGAAAACGCCACTCCAACGACTCCAACGGTCACGGTCGCATGAGTCACATGCTTTTTGTGAAAATCTGTCGGCTTGAGGAAGGAAGGAGCTTTTGTTCAAGTGCCCATTCTGCATATTATATTTATTGGAGGGTGCGGACCAAGCGGTACGCAAAAGACAGTGAAACAGCCATTCTTGGTGAATCCAAGCTCGGCAGCAAGGGCTGAAAGCGAAATAAAACAACATTTGTTGAATCCAATCTCAGCATCCACGCATCTGGTTGGAGCTGCTTCTCCTCAGGCGGCGCCATGTGTGAGGCTAAGGGTTTTGAGCCATCCAGGGGTGCCACGCATCTACTGGTGTTTCTTCTCTCCCTCTTCCTCTTCTCCTTTAAATAGCTCCATCGTCAGTTTCTCCACCAATCCTGGAATGATGAATGCCTTCGTGGTACACTGTGCTTCCTCGATTTCCTTGCTTTCATGGATTCCCCAGCTTCAGCACCGCCTCACATGTTCCTCCCAGCTCCGCTCGCTCGCTTCGGAGCTTGCCAAGAGTCATAGCCCAGCTCTGCTGCCAGCTCCAAGCTTTGACTCACCTGCTTCGAACCGAAGATCCGCTCCTCTGCATCCTCAGGAGCGCGAGTGCGAGCTCTCCGCGGAGAGCCGTGCGCGGAGTGCGTGCGGAAGGTGCGTGCGACTGCAAAGCACTCCCGCAGCGGAACTGCGGAGTGGATGGGTGGTGTTTGGGGACGTGCTCTGTCAGACGTGCTCGGTGAGAATGTCATACTCTGCCGTGTTGAAGGGTTCCAGCTGTCCATGAGCAGAATGGGAGAAGCGTGGAGAAGCATAGGTTGTCAGTTTTAGCCTGTGTTTGATGCGAATTGAACATCAATTAATTTCAGAAAACGCTACCTCGGTGGTTCTTGATAGACCAGTTGAGTGACTGGTCAGAGTCGAACAATTACAAAATATTACAAAGCTCCTCCTCCTCGTCACCTAACCACCTCCTATCCAGCCGCCCCTCGAATCGCTGCAACCTGTTGATCTCGGTCTCCCATTGACCCGACAGCTCGAGAGATTCCGCTGACTCCTTGTTGACGAGGGATGTGACTACTGTTCAAAAATACCTGGAGGGGTCACTTCAAAATCTACCTACCACCGCATCTATAAGATCTATAAGTGCAGCACGGGACGGGAAAGCAGGAACGCACCAAAGCATCACCCAAACACATGCATGGAATAGATGCCGACATTGACACCTTCTCAACCACCACCAACTGATAGGCGATGTCTGTTTCTTGGCAATATATGGCCCACTCATTATTATCTAATAGAGTGTTGTTGGGTCATTGAATCCATGATACTCGATAGCTGTCTGCTCTGTCTGCTGTTTCGCCAGGCATCGGACCCGTCAGGTTGGTAGACCTCTTGCGCTTTCGCGCGGTTCAGCCTGCACCGGGTTCACGGCTCGGGGACGCCGGTGGCACGAGCACGTCCCGTTGACGCGTTTTTCGGAGCGTTTTCCTGGTGTTCAAGCGCAGGGGCCTGAATCCCGACCCGTTTTTCTTTCACCAAACTGTCCACGTCTTGTTGAGTGGGGAAACCCATCCACCAAAATCCCACCAAAAGGTTATATAATCCACTGACTGGCTAGACAACCAAGATATGTGGACTTGCCTCATCCGAGACTTGCACAATCTTGTTCGCATCAAACCAGCTCTGAAATCACAGCAGCAAAATATTCATAAATGCTCTCCCATCCCTACCAAAAGGCTTTTGACACACTTTTGGACTCCTCTCCCTCTTCCGGCTCTTCCTCCCATCTCCAAGCCACAAGAACCATAGCTTCCGGCGCTTCTCCGAGCTCCCTGGCGACTCCACCACCGGCGGCAAAGGCAGCGCGGCCACGAAGGGCTCGGCGTCCCGGCGCCGTACTCGAGGCGCGGACAGGGAGGACTCCTTGGCGACCTGACCAAGCAGGAAAGGTGCGGTACCAGACCGAGCTCGGCGGAATCCAAGGGAGACAACGGTGACTGTCACCTGCTACTGATCTGTAGCTCAAATAGGGAGACCGAGAAACCTTTCGACCTCCTAAAGTTTTGGCAGGACATTTGGGAAATGTATGAACACCTACGTGTTACTGTCTGCCGGAGTCCGTAGAAGGTCTTGCATAGACATCCAAAAAGCAAGGTTTCATTGTCCATGCCAGTTAGTTTCTACAACAAGTGCAGTGGCCGAAAAGAGTCAACACACCACTAAAAAAGAACACGTGCTTGAGCAACTTGTGAAGATGGCATACGGTATAGCATTGATGCCATTCTGAAACCACCAGAACTCTACTCTAGAGGTACGTTTTGTCCATCTTGGCATGGCAGTCCAGCCACCGCTAAGCTGGCAGTGCTGAGCCGCCGCATGTGGGTCATCAAGTGCGGCCCATGTGTGGTGCATCTCGGTGGAACTCTGAAGGTGATCTGTGCAGGCTTGACAGGGATGATCAAGGTTTCTGGTGGCAAGAGCCAAAATCCATGGGATATCTATGTGCGATTTCGTGTTTTAGATCGGCCAAGCAATGTTTCTTGCATCCATTGATATCCACTGATTCTTTGGCTCCAGTTTTGCATAAGGCTGCTTCTGAACATCTTAGGGTGCTTGGGCCACCGTCGTCTTGCCGAACGGGACGGGGCCCATGGTGCGAGCCCGTCGTCCGGGCTGTGGTGTTCAAGGGACTCACTGGTTGCAGCCGATGGTTTCACCACAAGCTCTTTCCACCGAAGGAGGAAAACATTGAATGATGTTTCATGCCCACTTCTAACATCTTCTAACCAATCACTGCGATTATTCGGCGGGTTTGGATTTTGAATGTAAAATTATCATTCTCATCGGCAGGTGGATTCTGGGGCCACCACTCCGACCATCAAGAGCAAACAAACCACCTGAAAGAACAGAAGAAGTCAACGGAGGCCCACAGGGCACTGAGTGCAAGAGGTAAATACCCTCCAGACCTGCAACATACTGAAGAAGGGCCCCTCATGAAGAACCCACAGGTAACCATCCATGTATAGCCTATTGACCAAGCCTGGTCATGCAAAAGCAACCCCAGTTTTGGCAGTGCATCGTGCATGGTCATAAGAAAGGGCACATGCCTTTCATCCTTTGTCCTATTGAAACATGAATCCAAACCCACAGGCTGCCCTCAAACCAGAAACCAGGTCAGGATCTTGATAGCAACAGTCCATTGTTACCGTCTTTCCAGCGGGGTTTCCATCCACCATGTTTCTCGGAAAAAAATCGAGTTCGCCTCCTTTTCCTCTCGCTGATGCATGGCGTGTGGACGCTGCTGCTGCCTCTTCAGCGGATGTGAGGCGCGCCGGCGGTTCATCGGCAGAATGCGAACAGGAGCCTTCGCTTCGGGGATGGTGTGAACGAAGGCCAAAGGGTACCAGAGGGAGGAACAATGGCGTACGCGTGTCAAGTGTCGCAAGCGTTCCGGAAAGCATTCATTGACTGCCTTTCATCTCCTCTGACCTCCTGCTGCAAAGTCCAACAAACTGAATCGAGCGGTGAGCGAAAAGCATCAAAAGGATTCTGCCTTTTTTCCCGGTCGCCTGCACCATCTCCAGGAAGCTCAATCCAGCGTCAGCTGTGGTTGGCAGCTCTAGCAGTTTCGTCTGCGAAGTCCCTTGTTGAAGTGCGTGAGCGGCATCAGGGCATCAAAGCCCGCAAAGACTCTTCATAGAGCCTCAGCGGGTCTCTTCGGATGGTAGAGGGCGTCACACTCAAACAACCAAGCAGTTGGGGTTGGGCCCCCTGTGAAAGGGATCCCGTTTCAAGGAATTTTGGACACGACGAGTCCGTCTCCAAGCCAAAGTTGTTGTATAAACAAAAGAGATGTATTCAAGATATACTGTTGACAAATCCGGCACCACCAAACAATCCTGAACTGCCAACTCTTCTGGCCCCTTCTGGTCCACAAAACATCCAAGCAAATCCAGGTTTTTTAGTCCCATGTGGAGACCGCTCGCTCCCCAAGCGACCCCACCGACACCACCAGCCCAGGCACCGTTTGGATTCGGCGCGGGCAGCTGCATCGCCGCCCTTGGATTGGGCCGCCTCACGGTGGGAGGTTGGGGCCCAAGGCACAGGCACTGTGGCGATTTGTTTCTTTTCTCCGGGGGCTGGGGAGTTGAAGGAGGGTTTTTGCTCCACTGCAATCCGATGCAATCTGAATCAGTGAAACATATATACCTTGAGTCTCCAATGACCCTTTTAAATTTGCCTTTCCAAAAAAAAAGATGTTTTTGAAAGAAAGCACTCTTTTTATCTCTTTTTTGCATATGTCACGAAATGTTCCTTTTTTGTTTGTGCCCTGTCAGATCCTCCTTAGACAGTGTCCTGAGACCTTTTCGGCGTCCAAAACGCGTCTTTTTGCGTCCAAAAGGCGTCTTTAAGCGTCCGTGCCGGACGCGTCCGGATGAAGATTCACTCTGCACCTTTTTTTTGAGTCCTCATCTCTAAAAACACATGTTTCGAACAAAAACGCAAAAATATTAGACCCAAAACAAAAACGCAGAAAAAAAAGGTCTTTGGAGACTCAAGGTAGATGCATCAAGTATGCTTGAACACATTGAGGACCCATACAATTTGTCTACTATTCCCCGGTCTATGTTGAATCAACACTTCGGGTTGGATCCTGTAGTACTTCACCATGCAGGACACCTCGATCTGATCTGAACTGGCCTGGAGGGCTTCCAAGTCCTTGGCAGCCTGATGGGTCGGCGGTCTCGAACGCACCGCGTCGCCGCGGCGGTTCGGTGTTCCTTTCGATTCACGACCAGCCGGCGGGACCACCAAACTGGTCACCAAACGGTGCCGAACTTGGAGGAAGTCGGGGTGCCCAGAACATCCACTCACTTAGGGACTCAAAACCACCCCTTTGTGACTCCTGGAATGCCATTTTCTGGCAACGTTTCTCTTTGCGATCCTCCAAGATGTTCCACTTGGTGTGTGTGTGTGTGGTAGGAGACTGTAGAACCGGAGAGTGCCGTTCGGGTCGTCATGGATCCCATGAACTGTTTCGGGGCCTCGTCTGGCCGCTTCCGGCGGGGCCCGCGGCACAGCGGCTCTAGGCCAGCACCACCCTGGCAATCAAGATCTGGATGTTCACAGGGGAAACAGTCCCAACACACATCCCAGCTCTACTTTCCAATTTCCCCTTCCGCGTCTTCTCTATTCCCTGCAGTTGTTTACTTGAAGTTATAAATAACATCCATAAACTAAAGGTACATCTATATAAGTCAAAGGTTGACATTAGGGTCACCAGCTGGAAAGCCGAGAGGTCTAGAGCTATACTCCATGCATAAGCATTCAACAGCAGTTCACTGAAAGCTTGCCTATGGCATCAAGTGAGGGAGGGCATGGATTTCCCCATTCCAATGCAGCGAGATGTCGACTTCGAAGTGCCAGAGCTCGCCTTCTGGTGCCAAAGCTCGGCATAGCAAAGCGCGCTTACGGTGCTGGGCGGGGCGCCTGAAGTCCCGGGGAGCTCGGAGCCGGTGACAAGATCTCCTTACAAAAAGAAAACATGTGAAAGGGCTCCTGGGGGTTATTGAGGTATTATCAAGAGTCGACCTTACGAGCCAAAGTACGACAGGACGACAGGCCACCCAAAGTACGCCTTTGTCAAATAACACCTGTATATGTCTGATAATCTAAGACATTCTTTAGCAGCCACGTTCATCGGTGAAGGCTTGTGCAGCCCCATTCAGCAACAGTATATTGTGGTGGGACTCCCACCTGGTAGCCCACCATTCCCGCGCACCATGTTCCGCGCCTTTGTCGCCCCAGAAGCTGGGCCCCACCACCTGGCTGAGGCTGGCATTGACGCCCGGAGGCCGCAAACCGCCCCGCCAGCGGAGGAGCTTTCGGAAGGTGAAGATGTGACGCTCCTGGAGCGGAGGAGCTTGCGGATGCCGAGCGGCTCGGACCATGACTGGCGGAGCTTTCGGGTGGGATCTGGTGGGGAACGTGATCCAAAAAGTGATTCCAACATGGGTTTCTCATGGTTTCTCTATTGTTGGGACCACCAGGCTTCTTTAGATTGCATGAATCTGTCTGCGAATGCACACCCACATGTCCAAGGGGGTGCTCACACAAATATGTATGCCAATTAAAAATAAATAAGATTAAATAACTATGTACAGTACCTTCCAACAGGTGGTTGTTGTATGTTGTTGCCATATATATATATATATATTTGACTTCATGTTCAACACAGTCACCTGTTCCTCTGCATCGAATCGCTCTGCAGGTCACCTGTTCCTCCTTCGTTCTCCGCCGCTCGACCCCGTGAGCATCGGTCCAGCTCTTCGATGAGCGCTCGTTGCTCGGCTTCGGCGGCCTCGTTGCACAGCTCATGTTCTCAAAGAGCCCACAAATCCGTCTATAGAGGATCTACCTCTGAGAGTCCTGATACTGATACACAGCTTCTTGTGGAACGATGGTATTTACTTGGACCCTCCAAACCGGACAGCAACACATCCCGGTCCAAGCACCTTCTCAAAAGGGTCCATGGTTCGATAGTAGATTTGGTAATGAATTGGTTGACTCGAGTAGGTCTTTTCCAGTAAAATAGTGATATAAAACTGTTTGCCGACTCTTACAGGTAGTGGGAACCCCCAACTCATTCAATTCAGACCACTTACAGTACTCCCTCCTCACCCCACTGGCGCCGCCAGCCTCTAGACTCTAGACCCAATCTATGTCTAGCATTCCTTCAGCACATCTTTGACTCCGGGGCCGGTTTGATGCCTTTCACTACAAGGTCACTAGGTCGCTACCGAAATAGAGAGTGGCTCACAAAGACTTGGACAAAAACTCGTTCATCCTCTTTCGATCTCTATTCGTTCCTGGAGGTTGCATCTCATGCCAGAGTAAGATGAAAAAGTCGCTTCTCCTCCATTTTCGGCCCCACGCCATTCTCGGCCTTGCTGGCGGCCATCATTCGGCCGATCGCTTCCACCAGCTGCTCGCGGGATGCATGCTGCTTCAGCAGCGCGGACAGCCTTGGCAGCAGTCCGCACCAGGGGAGTTCCCCCAAAAGATGAGACCCAAATGTCCATACCCTTGACTTCCAAGACCATTAAAAAGCTGGTTGAACTGGTTTTTGTAGTGTAAAATCCTTAGTTGGTTCGGTAATGCCTATATTAATTTTATAATGGTTGGAAGTCTAGGGTATAGGGTGGGGGAATGTGCGGGATCCACTTTTCTGAGTCTGGCTTCTTGCCACTATCTCATGGCCTCCTCTTGCTTCAAACACAAAAGGTCATGGATGTCTTGCTTGGGCACCTCACCTAGCAACTTCACAGGTGAGCTGCGCATTCTCTTGCACCTGCCCGGTACCATGACACTTGTGAGCTTGGACAATCCAGTTGATCCATGCTCATCCAACGATCTGAAAACAAAGTGGATCAAATCCCAAACTGATCGAGAAAAACGTGACTTGGCCGGTGCAGTGCGACATGTCTCAGTCTGTCAAGGTGACACCCATAGAAAAAACAACCAAGTCTTCAAGTCACTGTCTTCATACGGATCATGAAGAAATCGTTCGTTGGGGGGTGCTTGACCTATGCAGCAACATCGAGACATGGGATCGTCGTTCCTATGCAAAAGGGATGGAACAAAAGAACGAACACATCTTCCAAACCATCACCCAGCACAATTTGCATACTAGTAATACTAAACCACCACATCGACTAAGGCATATACTATCATATACTTAGTAATGCTCAAACTTAGATTAAGGATAGCAATACAACATCTATAAAGCATATGCTAAAGCCATGGAGGTTTTGAAGTCTCACTATATATGATTATCTCTGCCACTCTATGGAAAGCGTGGCCAGGAAGCTCCTCATGGTGCCGCAGCCCCACTTCCAAATCCCAGCTCACAGGAGTGAACCTCAGAAGAACCGGTCGCGAGCAGCCAGCAGCCGACCGACTGAGAGGATTGTGGCTGGCACCCACATCAAGAAGGCGTATTATTACACTCCAAATGGATGAATCAAGAGCCTCTCTCGCTCTCTGTGTTATATATGTTATATATTATATATAAACTATTAAATATATATATATAGATAGAAAGGTAATCACACAGCAAGCAAGCAAATGCTTGGACCTCATTTATCCTTCTTTGGGTTTTCCCCCCAAGAGGGCTCACCTGTGCAGCTGGGGGAGCTCGCGTCGCTCCCGAGCTGTTGCCCCCTGAAAAGCCACAGGGGATGAAACAGGTGGAGTTCAAGGGAACCATCTACAGGACGCTCACACTTCCGGCCAATTTTCCCTTGCATGAGACCAGTGCCAGGTACCTCGAGTTGTTCTTTTGTTGGAGGGATCCTCATGATCCAATGTGGAGCCGTTCTTTTTTATGTGCCCGACCAGTCTCGGAGCAGATGGGAAGGGGGTTTGGAGGGTCGGCTGTCATGGCACCATGACACCTGTCGGTCGTTCGCTACATGGACGGGTCGCGCTCCAGGTTTGGACCCCCAAAACCCCCCAAAAAACGCAAGTTTCATCAATTGTTGCCTGATATTCAGGGATTCTCTCAATTTGGGGGTTGTGAGTTCTGCTGATATCTGTAACACACCTTCACCTCTGGGCTCCGGTCACGACGTAGCATGGCCATGGCCGACATGTCATGGGTCGATGATCACTTTTGGGACTTCTGCAGGTGCGACCGAAGCCTCGGCCAACATCTAAGCACTGCACCCTTTCACATGCTGAAAGCCCAAAAAGGCCCACGCTCACCAATCAAACTCCGAAACCAACAAAAGGCCCCACCTCCAACTTCCAACTCATTTATATAGACTTCCCACTCTCGCCTTCCACCCCACTAGCCCCACCGGTCGGCTCGCCAGGTCACAGCACTTCATCTCCCACCGCCACTTCCGTCACGAAGCGCAGCCGTGGATCACTCAGCGGCTGCGCCTCCGCGCGCGCCGCGCGCAGCGCCTCGCGCGCGGCGGCGCAGAAGGCGTCGCCGGCGCTGAGGTGCTCGTCGAAGCTCAGAGGCGGACCCGCGGCGGGTGAGGGGAAGGGAGCCAACGTTTCAGTTGACACGGAATGTGCACCTCTTGGCTAACAAAGATACATGCAAAAACAGGAATGACCAAAGGAGTCCGGACAAGCATGTTCTGTATATAATAACCAACCTGCACTCATGGCGAGCATCGCCAAAGGACAAATGCAGGAAAATGAGAGGTTCAATAACTGGTCAAACGTGAGTTGTCATGTTAACATAGGCACGGGCTCCAAACGGTGCGCACAAATCAACAAAAAAACTCCGTGCCGCATCATTCTCACGAACTGTTCAAGCAACATATCAGATTCACGAGTTCGGAAGGGCATGGCCAGCATGGCTTCTTTCATTCTGCGGAGCATCCGGAAGACTGTGGAACACCTACACCCAGCCAAGCCAAGTGCTTTCATTGAATACCCTCGTTTGGTTAAGAGGCATCTGCTTCACACGCACCAGCAGGATGTGCCAGTTGATCGCCTCTGCCACATCCTGATCGCGCCGATCCCCTGATGTTGGAGACAACGAGTGCACTGCCAACGACTCATCCACCACGCGACGGATGGATATGGGACCGAAGAAGACGACGGATCGCGCATTGTGCGTGCGAAATACGAAGACCAAACAAGTGGTGAACAAGACCAAACAAGGGATGATTCCGATGATCCGCAGTGGGACCAGTGGCCCCGAGATCGGGTGACCTTGAAAGAAGGACAAACAAGTGTTTAAACTCTGCGAATGAGTTCAGGGAGTGAAACGGTAGTCCAGGGAGTAAACTCTCTATCTATTGGGCTTCTGCAGGGCTCTTCGACTATTTAGGGGGCTTGTGATGCACTGTGCGAGCTAGTTGGACCATCGAACCCACCTTACTCGATCCATTTCCTACACAGGAAGCGAAGATATTGCTACAAGTAGTGTAGCAGATGGGTAGTTGATGATGAATGCAAACTCACGAAGGTTGCATCAACCTGGTTTGGGCCTCGAGGCTCCTCCAAAAAACAACAAACTATTGAAGCCATCCCTTACATATCCTCATGAAGTTCAGCAGCACAAGAAGGATGTTTATGACACCACTTCCGAAGTCTGACAAAGGCTCACAACACTTGATGAGCAGGTCGCAAGGTCACAAGGTATAGTCAGCGTCTCCGCGACCCACATCCGATGGCATCCAAGGGCATGGTTTTGAAGCAAATCCCCAAAGTTAGCAAAGCAAACATCACAAAATAATCACAACACATCCAAACATAAGCCAACATCATCATGCGCATGCCCAAAAAACGTTGCAACATGTCAGAAATGTGTTAAACACATCAAACGAAGTGGCAAAAACATGTCAAACAATATTACAAAATAATACAAAGAACATGTCCGAAGCAAAGCGAGGAAAACCGTGTTAACCTGAACAAGAGTCCTCAGATGCACCAGTGCAAACCTTCATCCTCCGCAGGCACACGTGGGCACGCGCACCACGTTCGAAGCACCTTTGCTGTCTGTGCAAGGGGAACTTTCTGCACCCTTCATACAGAATAAACATATCTGTCACACACAGATATTAATATATTATATTATATATATATATATGCAAACAACACAACAATGCCAAGGAATGCCACCAATGAGGAACTTTCTGACCGGCCATGTCCTTCTCTGGAGAACCCCAAGGTTCACTCCATTGACGTCGCTTGGTTGGGCGATGTTAGGCCTTTCGGGGTCCAAGCGGCGCTCGAGCGCCCTCCAGCTTGGCACGCTTGGCTTCAGGGACCTGCCAGCACGGTGGCACGCACCATCGGCGAAAAGCGCGGTGCTGGCGGCAGGTTGACGAGGTCCCATCATGTCCCATCCCATTTGTTCTCTTGGAGGTTCTGTATAGGATGTTGAAGCCTTGGCTTCTGTGGGAGCTATAGACTGAGAGCGCATCCTGCAGTGCAGCTATAGTTTCTCCCATCACAGCCATCTGTGGCATAGTCAAACATTGTAATAAAAGAGTGATTACTTTGAGCTGTTCAAACAAGGCACTTACTTTTCTGTGAAAATCCACTGGCTCGGCCCGAACGGTCGCGGGAGCCTGATGAGGCCATGCTTTGATTCAAGGGTGACGAAGGGGAACGCGGGATTGGAGGGGTGCATCAATGGTGGATCTCATGATGTTGCAAAGACGTTGATGGAGAAAACGCAAAGACTTTGATGGTGGATCTCATGGGTATTTGATCGATCCTATGGATCCAGGGATGTTGGCATGGCCACCTCCTGGCACCGACCCCCCTGCTTCTGATCCCTCGCCTCAGGGCCAGCTGCCAGCAATGCATTGCCACAGCCCTCAGGCTGAGGAGCGGATGGCCATGAACATTGGTGGGTGCATAGTCTTCCAAGAATCCCCCTCATTCCACTGATCACTAAGGCAAACCCATGCAGGTGAGGGTGTAGTGGTGATGGGATAATCAGTTTCAATTTCCGTTCTATCAAATCAACGCTCCAACTCTGCAATAGACATAGAGAGAGGTTCCCTTTAGCTTTACCTCCCTGGCGCCACATCTTATCACCAAACTAATTACATTATACAGGTTCATGATTAATATTCTATTCAAATCTACAGAGATCAACAAAATGTCCTTCTTCCCCTGAGCCCAATTCACAGATCTTCTTCCTCTGAGCCAAAACGTTATCTTCTTTTTCACCGGAACCAAAAATCAAACACAGTATGTTTTCCTCCGAGCACCGATGAAAAAAACAACAAGCCAAACACACATGGCATACTGAACGCATCGGTTCCGGCTCCTGTGGCTCATTGGCGGCGACCACGGGGGCGCCCCGCAGCTGCGATTTGGCAAAGTGGAGTAGCACCTGGTGCGACGTGGCGACGTCAGCGTGGCGACGTGGCGAACACGTGGGCGGTGTTTTGGACCGAAGGTTCTGGGTTTAGGGTTCTGGAAACAGATCCGAGACTGTGAGCCCTGAAGCAGTTTCATGAAAAAAAAAGTTGGCATTCTTCCCAGGGTCGATGAAGATTGACAAGGGCCCGACTTGAAGAACCACAAGGACCTGCGGGGGTGTGGACCGGCAGTGTTGGCACCTCTGCGGTACGGCAGCTCAGCGTTCGCAGCTGCTCCTGCGGAACGGGTGTTCCACCCCGAACAGATCGCCGGCATTCCCAAGTTCCAGCATTGACTGCAAGGCCATTATATAGATCATTTTGGCGGGGGAGATGGATTATAACCCTGGTCTATAGTCATAGTCTATAGATCATTTTGGTGGGAGAGATGGTCCGCAGGGTCTCACAGGGCATGATTCATTCGCCCCTGCGTCCTGACGCTCATTCGAGGACTTTTCCAGCAACTCCAGCCACAAAGCCTCGCGAGGCTGGGGGAGGTGAACATGGGCCCATCCAACGCCTCGTAACTTCCATTCCGATCGGGTTTCACATTGTAATTGCACAGGAAAGATGAAGGAAGATGGACCTGCAAGGAACGTTTTTCTCCCACAAACCGTGTTCAGGTTCCAGGTGAATCTTCCAGGGCACAGGGAGTGAGCATGCAGTTGAAAAAATGGGCACGACTGTACCACTTGTCGCTTCCCTCGCTTTCTGGTGCTGAAGGTTCTGTTCCAGCTAAGCACATGGATGGTGGACGGTTGCCGGTCACAGCTGTGCGGTTCCGCCATGGCCTTGGCTCGCAAAGCTTCGGCCTCCGCACTGTGACCCTCGCAGGGCTGCTGATTGGGCTCCGTCTGCCCTGGCATGGCGGGTGAGACAATCCAAGGAAAAGCACAAAGATCTCTCCTTCATGTGCCTGTTTGCCTCATAGCGGTTGGCAACAAACCCTTCGTTCGAACATGTTGGAACATGTTTTGCCTTGCTTCACGGTCAACAATCACTTTCTCGACTTCTGCGGGGCAGCCTAAGTCGGGCAGCCCGAAGACATCTGCGGCCGCCGCAGCTTGCGCCGCTTGGTTCTCCTGGGCGATGGTCAGGAGAGCCCCGCTGGCATCCCTAATTACTGTTGAACGAAGATCTCCTCTCGACCTGACAGTGGAACAATATGATGGGCATTGATGGGCAATACAGCGGGGTTTTGGGCTTTACACGGTATGGTGTACAGATTGAAGCGGTTCTGGATTTCTCTAACAGAGATCGGTATCAATCCTGTGACGTTCTGGTGGATCCCGAGGGCGACATGGATAAGAAAACTGCTTGGAGACTCAGCAGGTTCCAGTACCCAAACACAACCAATGGCGGTGGCATATTTACAAATATTTACAACCCCGAGTTTGTAGTAGTTGATTTTCAGGAGGAGGACATTTCACCTACTCCTGCTTTCCATTGAAATGAACGGCGGGGACAATAAAAGTACACAGTATACATACATACATATACCAAATGACGGTCCAAGCAAAGGCTAACTTGGTCACAAGCCATCTTCGTTCAAAAGGTCAGCCACTCTGAAGACCTGAAAAGGACCTCAGCAAGTGTTGGTAAACATCCAACAACCAATTTCTTCCCACAATTCTCCCTAAACTCTTCCCCTACTTTTCAACAAAAAAGTATATATTGTCTTCTAACCATTTGCTACCTCCAGCTCCAACCTTCCAAGCTGGAAACCCAAACCCTCCCAGCACCTTGCGGGTCAACCCATGGTCGCAGCCGTCGCAGGAACCGCCGGGGTCTCGGCTCCTGGCGCCCATCTTGGCTGCCGGTCCGTTGCAACTCGGCGTCGTACCTGGTGCTGAAGCCCCCCCCTTTTGGGCGGGAAAAAGGGCTGGATTCAACATGAGATCAAACCTGACAATGGTCAGTGGCCCCACCGGGAAAATCTGAATCCTCGAATCTACTGTCCGTTGTCACGTTGTCAAGTGCATGGTTTCTGCCAGGAGCATTCTGACACCCTGGCTGGACTACCCTACACTATACTTACAGATCTCCAAACAGGACACCCAAACAGGATGGTCTCAGGTGTACCCCCCAGCTCTCCCATACCGATGAGGCCAGCGCGGCGGCCAAGGGACTTCTTCCGCTTTGGAAGGTCGGAGAGGATTTCGAAGGCTTCCACTACCTGGGCTTCCCCAAAATGCAGCGCGGAAGGGTGAACAAGGCATCAAGGGAGTGAGCACTTTTCAAAACCTAGAACAACAAGCAGATCTAATGCACCTGGACCCATATGGCCATAAGGAAACCCTAGGATTCAAACAACCATGTTTAATGGTTTTGACCAAAAAATCGTTGCTTCACTAAGGCTTTTACAGTATATAATCAAACCACGTCAACCATTCTTTTGATGGTCATTGAAGGCTAGGGCCAACTCACTCGTTGTTCCTCCTTCTGATTTGTAGGTGGACCCACTCCCGAGAAGAGGACCTGTGCGTTCCGGGACCTGTGGAGTAGTCTGCTGGTCCACTGCAACGGCCACTTCAGTCACGCTCGCCCATATCTTTACAACTACAGCAACGCTCGCCTTCTCAATGAGAAGGTGTATGATGGTTTATCCAAAGCTGGTGTGTTGGGCCGACGACCCAACACTCTTTGAGGGATACAGGTACAGTATGGTACAGGTTACAGTATAGTGCTATACCAGGATCCACCAAGCATAGATTGCCCGGGATCTCTTTTGTAGGATCTACCCATAGCTCTGCATGTGTGAGGAGCTCAAGGGCATCGTCCGCCAGCTGCAACTATAGGGAACAATGAGAAGCTGGCCTGTGATCCGTTTTTGTTGAGTGGATCCGGTCAGGAAGTAGCTGCTTGATTGCCCATGGCCCAGCGACAGAAACCGACCTACGCTGTTAGCTGACCTACGGGCCGAGGCCTGTGACGAGGCCTGTGACCTCGGCAGCCAAAAAAAACGTTACTCAACAACTAATATGGCGACTCGCGTCTAATCTAGCCGCTTAGACCTCTTTTGGACTGGCAGGGGCATGCCCGCTTAGGCAGCTCTGGATCACTCAAGGTCTGGTTGTTGGGTCTGGCTTCATCTGCAGCCGAAAGACCTTGAGGAATTCCTCTTCATTGCCTGGGTGGCTGAAATCACGAGGTGCTTTTTTTTTTTTGTCCGCTCCGAACGAAAGCAAAGCCTTGCATGGGTTGTCCAACGTGAGTTCCTGGGCCGTTCTTCATGAAATCCTGTGCGCTCCCTAAAATCGTCATGGCTACATGATGAACATGTTCCAAAGACCAAACAGGTGGTGAACTCCACTTCCATGTGAATACCTCCAATAGTAACTAGTAATAGCTTCGGCTTGGTTCCGCGTCCCGAGCTGCCGATCATGGCTCATCGCTCATTCTGATTGAGCAAGATCGGGTCGTTGCCCGACCCCAGCCAACAAGAGCCCCTAGGGATCCAGTTGTACCTTCTCAAATGGTACTTGAACCCTCCAAACCCACCCTCAGCCTCAAACACCTTCTCTGAGGGTACTTGCATCCTTAGGGAGCAATCATGAACACAAGTACCAGAACCCACGTTCGGGGTGCTTCATGGACACCCGAATCACCTCCATGCGGCTATTGACATCGACATCCCGAGGGCCCCGGGCCCCGGTATAGAGTTACAATGGTTTCAGACTAGATGGCACAGACCTCAAGATGTCCTTTACATGTGGGGGGTCCATATAAATCCACTAATTATACTGAAACGCATGAGGTCAAGCAGGTCTCAAATCCAAGAATCCGCCCTTGTCAGGATGTGTCTGCAGCGCCCGCAGCCGGTAGGCCGCGCGGATTTGTGCGTCGGTCGCCAGCCGGTTCACGCGCAGCACGCTGTAGAGCGACTGATCCATGGCGTGTAAGATTTTTATCAAGCAATGTCAAGCAATTACCCACTTCACAAGGAAGAATATCATATTATGTTTTTGTGTGTACGCGTGTGCGGAGTTTGAATGGGTTATGGATCAAGAAGTCACGTGTTGTTGAGCATCCGGTTGTTGCGCCAGCTTTGCAATGCAATTTGTATATTTTTTTCGTGGCAATATGGCAATATGTTAACCATCGCCCAGACCGCCCTGAGGAAACCATGTCTGTTCATGTCTGGTGTTTTTCATCAACAAAATCATCATCATGCCTTCAATCAAGGCACAATGTTGGATGACATTCTTCAATTCAATAAGCAACAACTATGTCCTTGTGGATGTTGGATCCAAAATCAAGCAATAACTACATGTCACTCTTCAACCACTTCTTGAGGACAGATATTGGATAAGAGTTGCGAGGTTGGATCAAGTTGACGTCAATGCAACAGCATTTCACATCTAATTACTCCTCCTATACCTGCATGCCACCTACTAGATAAATGATGATTAACTGAGTCAGTACAATAGCTGTTTGTTGAAGGAATGGGTGGCAATGCTGCAATGATTTTCCCACAAACGCCTGTGTTGTTCATGCCACGGTGTGAGCCAGTTTGTTGGTGCAACATCTGATCTCCGGATGTGTCCCCGCTTGGTGTGGCGCCACGCTGTGATCCGGAGACAGGCGGTCAAAAGCCGTGGCAAAACACGTCATCAAACCGATATCCTTCAAACAAAGCATCGGGAGCGTCTTTGTCTGCCCTAGTTGTCTGCCCTAGAAGCTAAAGATACACTTGCATACACTTCCCCGAAGGCTATTTGTGATCAAGCTATATCAAGCTTCCATACACTTCCATACACTTCATAGCTCTCTGCTTCTGACAACCCTTTTTTTTCTCCTCGCGCCACGCACAACTGCCAACTGCTAGACTGCTAGACTGGCCATTTTTCCTGCGCCACAGGGCACAGCCGGGCGCGTTGCTCGCGGCTCTGTTGCATGCAATGGCTCAAAACATTCAACAATCTTCGGGTACCAGGGGAAGTGGCCAACCAGGTGGTCTCTTCCAACCAGGTGGTCTCTGAGTCGCCACTGATCGTGCGTACCTACACACTCCAGGTAGCCTCACTGGCCCTGCCTTCATTGGACGTGGGTAACAAGCACCCAGGGACGGCCGGTTCACGGCCCCGCCCGACTGGGACAGATCTGGATCAAGTACCAGGGCCCCCGTGAAACGGGGTGTCTAATATATAGCTCCTTAATTAGAAGTGACGCGGGGTATGAACCACCCCTGGCTGCGGGGGCCTTGGTATAAGTTTTTTGTTTTTGTTTGTTCAGGTCATGTGGAGGATGGGCCTAGGGCCTAGTTTCCACCCACATCCAGTTACTTCTTTACTTCTTCCACCGTCTGGACTTGTCATGTCCTTTGGATGAGCGGCAACAGGGACAGCTGCCAGATTCGAATTGCGACGGCAACATCCAGGGCTTTTGCTCCCACTTGATCTGTTGCTCCTTCTTGGCCCATTCCTCGGAAGTCGCGCCCTGTGAGGAGACCCCCAGAATATATCCAACGATCACCATCGGGGAGTCCAGACTGGGCAACAATGGATTCGAAAATCCAAACGGCATGTCAAAAAAAAAGGAAACCAGGTCAAGATCAAGTCAAGTGCCACTTCTGACAGAACTAGCTGATGTCGATGTCTCAGCTCTTCTTGAAATGACTTTCGTTTTCCGCCGAGGCTCTGCGAGGCACGCCTGATGAAAATTGTTGTGACACTTCCGACAGGTGCGAGGCAAGCTTTCGGCTGAAAAGCCTTCCAGGCAAATGGGGCAAGGCTCCTGTGGCTTGTGGCGCTCCACCTTGGCCACCTCATGGGCTACCACCTCACAAATGGAGGAACCAGGGTGGCGGCAAGCTGTGATCAAGTCTCTCGAAATGGACATAACAAAGTTCTATTTCTATCTAATCCCTAGGGATCCAAGTACCTCCTCAAATGGTACTTGTACCCTCCAAACCCACCTCAAACACCTTCTCTGAGGGTACTTGGATCCTTAGGGAATAAAGGTCCATTACCTGCCGTAAAAGCAACCTACAGTAACTTTTCTGGAAACCGTCCCTTAAAATATGTCACATCTTGGATGAGGAAGCAATTCAAAGCCGAAATCTTGTGGGGTGAGTATCATGTGAGGTAATATATATGCATATTACATATATAGTTTCTTGATCTGATGTTTCTTGCACAAGTCGTGTAGTCATGCACGAGCTCGTCCACCTCTGGCTTCTCAATCTTCTTGGCATCCACTTCACGCTCTGCGTCCTCAAGAAAAGTACAGGACTTCTTTGCATCTACTAGCCCATCCAATCCCACACACTTTCCTGCAAAGCCTTTAAATGAGGTGTTCAATTAGAGACTTATAGAATCTTGTAGATATTATAGGAAACACACGCACTCCAATCAAAACAACCCCTCTCCCGCAATTGAAGACTCATATAGATCGCCTCTTTAGACTAATGACTGTGTTCATCTTCGTACCATCCATTCTCTCAGTTCCATCCAAGTCGCCGTGTTTCTGCCAGCCTCCTGACCTAGCTTCGCCTCCTCACCTAGCTTCCTCACCTCGGCCGCAGCCTCCTCCGCTCTCTCGGCACGCCGACGCCAGCGACTGGCTGTGGGCGCGGGCGGCGGCTCAGGACCCATGGCATTTGGAGGTTGGAAAGCGGTGGGTGACGGCTGACAAAGGATGGGTGGATAGTTTTCGGGAGCTTTCCAGGAAAAAGACAACTCAAAGGGCATTGCAAGAATTTGACTTCTTGCAATGTTCTTTTTTGTCCGTGTTTTGTAAGAGAGTGGGCGAAAGCAATGGAGTAGAGGACAGGCGATTGGCGTACTTGGCGCTCTAAAATGGTCTTTGAGGGTCATTGGGTCTGTGACTGTCATGTGGGTTTGGCCGCTTTTGATGCCTTTCTTGGCACCTGCCAAACGGGTTCAGTTCTGAGAGCCAAACAGCAGCATTGACGCCGATGAATCAAGGTTGCTGTAAGCCTGCAAGGAGCTGCTTGCCAGCTGCTTCCGGGGTGTTAGTATTTGTCAGCAGGCAAGACATTATTTGTTCCCAAACATGGAGCCCAAACCACACCCCTCAGTGGAATAAACATGAGTCTATATTGGTCTGCATGGCTGCCGGGAAGATGGGACTTGCTTCATCCATGGTTGCTGCATGTTGCTAACGGAGCGAGGTGACAAACACGCCTCTCTCTCTCGCGGGACTCGTCCCCAACGAGACCCGAGACGCTGCAGTTTCCCCGAAAGGCCGGGGACCCACACACCTTTTTCCCCAAAGCACAGCATGACTCCCAGAAGCAGCGCTTCGACCTCTGTGGCTATAGCCCGGTCAGCTTTCCGCCCGGTCGAAACCCAAAAGCCGTCAGTCTGCGCCCCAACAAAAGCCACCGGTCGGCACCTCAGGCACTTCCCTTGAAAGAGGACAACAAGCTACTCCATCGACTCATCTGTTCAGTCAAGGTCTTCCCAGCAGCTGCCACGGTCTGGGTAACCTGAACCATCGAACGCGGGAAAGGCGAGGGAGACGTGACGGGTGCCGTACCCAAAGACTCCATGTCTGGAATCTATGCCTACATTGACCCTGGAAAGCACCCCAAGGTGGACAAATATGGTGAATCATGGCAAATATGGCATAACAGGAATGTCTGGCAACATGGCATTAGCAACAAATCTCGACATGCGCTCACTCATGAAAATTCCTGGAATGAGCGGCCGGTTCGCGTGTGCCACTGTTCAGGTCCAAGTCACTTGCTGGATTGCATCTTTTCCAGCAGTCATCACCTCCGATTGTGTCGCGTTCCAGGTTACCTGGTGTACTGGCTCACGCTTATAGAGGCATTTCTTGGTCATGATGTCGAAGAGATTTGCTGGAATTTCGTTGGCAATCTCTTGGTAGATCATCAATTCCTGACTTGTGCTGGACTCGCGGCCGCCGGACAGTTTGGCTTTCACCAAAAGATGGGTACGGGGTGTCCGCGATGTCCCCTCTATCGGAGCCTCCATGAACAAAAGAAAAACATGACCACTCGAGACCACTTGGACGGCAGGTCATAGAGACCTATACACGTCAATCGTCCACCTCCTTGTGCACTCCATGAATGCAGCCAAAGACTGATGGCATGCTGTCCTTTTCACAAACAAGAAGCCCCCTTCGAAGAAACACATTCACCACTGTTTGATATATGTAATCAAAACTTGCAAGCATTCATCACAACACATCATGTAGCACACTTCCAGTTCTACACCTTCGATGGAAAGCGATCACGGGCCATCACGGCTCAAACGGCATCCCACTGTACCCTTCGTCTCTGTGTGCTCATGTCCTTCATCTTCCTTGCTTTGCATCCTTGACCACGATGCGATTCATTGTAACATCAAGTGGATCAGGGTTTTGTTGGCCAACTGCTCCAAATCCCAGTCAAGCGACCACAGATCCAACCCAAAACATGCGCCCCGTTTTGAAGCCACACAATCACCATGGCTCCTTTGGAAAGAACAAGCTAACTTCCAACGCCTCCGCCAACCTCAGGCCCTTGAACAAAGATAACAAAGCTCCTCTTCACCAATCAAATCCCTTCCAGCCCAAAACCGTCCCTCCCCCCCCAACAAAAAGGCACTTCACCACATCCATGCTTTACATCCATCCACCAACCATCCGTCCGCTTCTCCCTCCGTCCGCGCGGTCGTTGCCGCCGTTCAGCTCCAAGGCTCCATGGCTCGGCGTCCAGCCTCGAGCCCCGCCTGGGCGACGATCGAGGACAAGGTGCCCAGCAGAGCCACAGCCGCACCGCCAGAGGCCAAGCCCGTCCAGCCCAACCTGACGAACGGTGACGCACCGCGGTTGCAGCCCGTCCATCAGTTGGAAGGGTTTGTTTGGAGGAGGAGGATCAGGGATCAGGGGAGGTTTTTTGGAGATTTCTTCCAGGTTTTGCTCTTCAGCTCTTCCAACTACTTCTTGGAGATCTCTGGAGGATGGGGATCGGTGATAGTGAAGGAGATGGGGGTTTTGCCAGTGAAGGAGATGCGTCTGGAGGTGAGGGTGTGGAGATGGCACGTACAGGCGGGTACCGGCGGGTCTTGGAGTGCACAGGGGATGTTGATTGATTGAACTGCTTCTTGACATCAGCTGCATGGAAGCCACAAAACCTGTGGGACTCACAGCTGCTGAGAGCCGATCTAAGGTTACCACAGAAGAATTCATGGAGAACTCCACCTGGTGGACCATGGCAAACACCGGAACCATGGTGCCGCTGGTGCCGCAGTCCATCCGCGCATGCGCGCACGCATGCCGTACCGTATGACCTTTTGGATGGGACCGGACCTTCAGGGAGGACCAACACCTTCCTCACACAGGGTGTCCGATGGCATACACCTATACAATACCCAGACACGACCCATGGGACTGCCATATATGCCGATCAATTGGGGTGGTTTTGGGGGTCAATGTAGGCATATATTGCATACATGGAGTGTTTGGGCTATTATACACTATATACTCGTGGATCTCCATTGGACACCCCCTTAGCAAAGGTCGCAGGTAGACATGGCGATTTCGGCAAGGACCCCCCTGAGGCCCTCGAGCGAATGGTCGCATCAGAGGACTTCTCCAGGTTTGGTCGCTCAAGCTCGGTTGGATGGGCACCAGGTCTGCCAGAGTGCCAAGCACTTCGGATGGAGCAGGCTGCAGGTCGCCAAAAATCCGAATCGCAAGCGCCCATCTATTAGTGATTTCAGAGGTGGCACCATCCTTCAAGGTCGGTGGTTTAGTGAAGCTCCATCCAAGATGGAGCTTCGAACGGGCCGGAGCTTCGAACCTCTGGAAACCACATGAAACCACTCATTGCCTAGGCCATTCGCCTCAAAGAGTCCCGTGCCCCTTTTAATTGATATCAAGACCAAGCAAACTGGACCCAAACGACGTACAACTCTTAGATGAAGGATGGTGGATGGTCGATGAATATCCGCAGAGAAGTATCCACCATCGACCATCCACCATCCTTCATCTAAGAGTTTTGATGTTTCAGGGTAGTGTTTGGCTTGGTGAAACAACATTTCGGGCCAGGTCACAGCAGGGAGAAGCTGAACCTCAGGCGCAGGGAAACCAAACGCACGTTGCTTCTTCCACCAAACCGAGCGAGTAAAGTGGAAGTGGCAAAAAAAATAACTGGAGACTGCCCAAAGGGGATGTTTCTGTGACATTCACCAGGAGTATCTACAATCATTTGGTAGTCTGCATGTGTACATGTATACTTCAATATATGTTGCTGTTTGGGTGATCTCTGGGGTAGCGCCAAGAATCCTCCCTGGAGTAGTAGTAAAAACATCGTGTCTCTCTCATGCAGATGCAGCGCATATATTATTGCATACCCCAAGAAGTCCAAGGGCTATTTTCGGCACCACCCAAGTAAAGGAAGATCCTTTTCGGATCACCAAGTCAGACCGTTTTAAAATGGTCTTGGACTCCCAGGGATATCATATTTGTATCTCTGTTTGTTGTATATCCTGGAAGTCCAAGACCATTCAAAAAACTGGTTGAGCTCGTTTCGTAGCCTGAATGAAGTCCATAGTAAAACAATGATTGGTGTGCTGTTTCAAGAATATTAAAACAACGGTTGTTGGAATCGCACGGTATCTATACCTTCTAAGAAGATGGGACTGGGGTGGGTTTAGACGGCCCTAGGGGCCCTTGCCCACTGATCATGTTGCGTGTCTTCTTTAAATCATCTCTTCTTCATCGCGCCCAAGGCGCTTGCCCATCTCGGTGATCGAGTCCATGAAGGGTGCTGAGCCCAAGACTTCCTTCAGCCCGGTCAACAGCACCGCAGGAGAGAAGGTCTGCTTCGCGTAGTCGGTCAACCTCAGCCGGGTCACCCGAAGTGTTCGGTCACCCGAAACGGCGCCACGTTTGGAGCTCCAAACGGATTGATTCTTCTGAAGGTAGGGTGGAATGATTTGATGAATTCTGAGCCGGTCTGTTCCGGCGAACTCTCTGGAACCAGGAGCCGGAAACCGGCCGCATGCGGAGACGCTCTAAATGCTTAAAGTCCATCCATGTCAGCAACCTGGAAACTGAAGGTTTCTTATGATCTAATGATCGGCCTCCTTGTTTTCCAAAGGTGCCTTGTGTGCTTGCCGGAAAAGGAAAAAACCCCGAGTCGGAGACCAATTACTGAAACCCTCTGGGCGCCCCCGGCTTCTGGGCAGACTCGGATGCATAGGCCAAAGCGCCCACGGCATTGACGCCCGGATCGCCGTAGATGTGCCAGGAGACCTGGCCAAAACGGTGAAGACTACAGTGACAGGTGGGAGCTTTAATGCCTTCCTGTTTCATGAAGACACGACTTGACTTCTTATAGAAGTGTTGAAGCATGGCAAAATGATGCGGGAATCATCCCCAATCAGTGCTTGACTGCACGGGATGCCATCATTCGCTGCAGCAAATTGCTGATGTCGGTGCCACCTTCTCGCAAAGCTGGTCGCGGACCAAAACGCCGAACTTGGCGACAAAAAGCGCTGCACGAGGGTGCTCCAGGATCCACTTCACCAATGATACGCCATAGCCTTCGAGTCAAAAAATGAAGTTCGGAAAAATCCGGCAGATGCAAAACCTATATCCCTGGTGCAATAATGGACAATAATGGAAGACAGGACCATAATGGACATATATCCCTGGAACTGGCATGGATTGCATGGCCTCTTGGACGATTTTCTACAAACAGGGGGGGTGGTGTTCCACTTCTGTTAGTTCCAAAGACATGCAATGCATAAAAACAACATATGTATAAAGGTGGCAGAAGTGGACTCGGCACACGGTGTGGAATTCCTTCACAAATGTTCACCCAGCGTCGTAACAATGGCTTGGCCACAAAGTTCCACAAGGGCTTCAGGCCGTAGCGGAACACTGCACCTGGCCACGCGATCGCGGCTTGGAGGCAAATTGACGCAAGTGGCGCACATCTGGAAGGGTGAGGCAGTCTTATAATCCTGGAAGCTGAAAGCATGGAGAATCTAGAAGCCATCAAGACATCGAATCAAGTTGGGCTCCAACTCACTACAATGTTTGTACTGCACGCTTCGCTGGTGACACTTCGTGACAGACCTAAACATTGGCAGGTGGCCGAAATCCCGCACGAACCAGAAGCAACCTGGGAATACCTGGTAGTCGTGTAAAAAACCCTCTGCCTTTCCCTATGCCACATTTTGACGTTGTCGTTGTATTTTATTCTAACTTATTCTAACTTATTGTGTTGTTCTTTTAACATGGGGGTTTAATACTCTCCCACCAGGTGTTAGTTGTTGGCTTAGGGTTGTCCAAAGGGACAAGGCACCGAATGCATGAAACCGTCTAGCCATGAAACGCATGTGCAACTGAACCCCATGGATGTTCTGATGCAGAAATCACCCGATCACTTCTTCCTGACCATGCAGAAATCACCGAGACCCGGCGACTTCGAAACAGTCCACCTTTCGAACCAGTGGATCCATCCGGATCCACAGGACCCACCTACCATCCAATTTGCCCACCTGAGAAGAAACAGCTATGCAATGGAGAAGTGGATCCACTTTTCACTTGTGTCCTGCTGAACTCTGACCTGACCAAGTGAACTCTGTGCCATGCTGTGCCTGGTACGGAGGCGATCACGTTCCACACGGTCCTTGGCGGAGGCGGGCGTCCCTGGAGTCTACTTACTGCCATCGGCTGCCCTCTGGGTTGCTATGTGAGGATGCGAGAGGCTCTGAAGGTCTCTTCCCCTGACTTGCAGAAGGTCTCTTCGCCTCTCCCAGAAGTTCACTCCGAGGTGCTTCAGCGCATTTCCGGGGTCAATCTGCAGGAATGCCTGGTGTTCTGGCGACCATCGGGCCACCACAGTGGCGTTCTTGCCGCTCGGCGTGATCTGGTCACCATGCTCACAGACCTCCATGCGCCCAAGCGCGCAAAGGGGAGGCGTGCGGATCATGTAACGATATGATTAGTCTATAAATATAAACATATATGTATATGCACATATACTGCACAAGTATGTATGTCGTATATATATATATGTTGACATATCATATCTATAATTATATATGTGTATATGTACATATATATATATCAGTTGGGGTGGTTGAAAAGGGGTTAATGTGGGCATCACTCCATACATGGAGTGTTCGAGACTGGATAGTTCTTGATGAATTGTATCAAAGGTAGTTGCAACCTTGTCCCAGGTAGTGGCAGGTTTTGCTTCGACGTGCTGATGGAAAGCATCTCAGATCATACAAGAGGTACTCCACCGTCTCCCTTCACTCACCTCCATGTACAACTGGTGATCAATAATGGTAAACTTATCCATATACTATGTGCGCCTGATTGCTCCACTTCCCTACAGCGACCATTTCTTTCACATGCAACGGATTCAACACTTGTTCGACACGAAAAGAAGGACAAGTGGGCAAAATGAAGCTTGCCTCCAACCGTTGGAATTTGTGCGTGGCATTCGTTAAGATCCCCTAGTCATGTTCAAGATGAACAGGCAGGCACTTGGAGTCTCAGTTCGTACCTCAGAATCATGGGTACAAGATGGTACCTATATATAAGTATCCCTTCAGGGATATGATCCCACTTTCTGACACCCTGACATCTCGGGCCCATCAGATCACCAGAGAATCTCTCCGCACGGTCTGAAGGGTTCCTTCAGACTGCCGTGACACCGGTGGGTGACTTCAGACCGACCGTCTGCTGCAGACACTGTCAGGTCGTACCGGTCACTGTCGTGTCACTGTCGTGTCGCACCTGCAAAAAGGTGGTGCCATCCTCCGAGATCTCCAGGTCATTCGAGGACTCGGTGTCCACCGTCTCCTCACGCGGAAGGCGTCCGGCGGCTCCGGATGGGCGGAAGAAGGCGGAAGCAAGCGGGCGAGGCGGGCGGAACAAAAGGAGGATGGGTTGCTTGAGGAGAGAAAAGCACTCAGGATGAATGGAGGGTTTGCAAAGGGTTTGCTATATTGGCATGCTATAGGTGGTTCTACCGGTTCTGTCCACAGGTGTGGATGGGAATGTGTATGGATGTAGACATGTTGCTATTTTGTTTTCAGGATCTTTCAAGTCATCAAGCGGGCCATATTGGACCTTTCTCCTGACCCATTACCGATATGATTTCTCGGTTTTGGGCGCGTGGATCGTGTTCAATCTGCATCGAAGCAGAATCCATTCGCGAAAAGAAAGAACACGGCGCATCGCTAGGAACCGAAAGTGAACCTATAGTGAACTATAGTGACTGATGCCTTCATTGGCCGCCGTAAACGGAACGATCAGAGAAGAGGTGCCGGTCGGCGGCTCCTGCAAATCGGAGAGGATACTCTTGAACTGATCCAAGGCAGTACGGACCTTGGACTAAGGCACTTGGAGTAGGAGAACAGGAAAGCATAAAACGCTGAAAGCTTTAAGAGTGGTACATTGTATGTCCAGTAATACAGATGTAATGTATAATTACCGTAATGTACATTGTATGCATAATCATCTCTTTATTAAAGTAACAAATACATTATGAATATATATAGAATGATGGGGCCAACAGATTTGGCTCAAGGAAGTAAGTAAGCTCCTCAACTTGATCTCATTGGAGGTCACCACCCACTATGCCCACTAAGAATATCATAGAATATCTAAGAATTGTAAAACATCTCAACGGATTTACTTGGTTGACTCCGTTTTGGGAGCTGGTGAGGGTCCAAGAAGAGCTTCTGATCCAATCATTTGTGGCATAATGTGGGCATCTGCCACCTGCCAAGGCCTGCCAAGGTGCCATCTGCCCCAGCCAGTCGAGCTCCTCATCGTTGCTCACGTGGTGATTCAACATCTTCTTGAGCGCCGCAGTGCCTAGAAATCAAAGACAACAAGTCCTTTGTGCCATCATCTGAGCCCGACAAACACAGCAAACCAGATCTTTAAAATTGTATATAGGACAAACAAGCCCAAAATATGTTCTTCGTTTCGAGGCCGGCTTTTTGAACGTCCACTTCCACTTCTTCGTTGGCACAGGAGGGAGAAACGGTCAACACCACAGCAGCGCCTTGGATAGCCTGGGAGTCACCCCATCTGCTAGACAGTCGGGTCAATCCTCTCTAGAAATAAAGCTGTGCAACTGGGTCTGAACCTGACCTTCCACATAAGCCATAGCATGCCAGAGCTGTTGGACAAAGAACCCGCAGGGTCACCACCCCTCATTCCCCCTTCCTTCCCTTGAGAGGCCCCAGTCGCCAGTAGCTACCGAGTCCTTCAAGCTGGCGCGCACGCTGCGGTCCTCGATGCGTTTGAGGTTCACACCTTTCACGTCCGCCTTCCTCGGTGCTGTTCGACAACACTGGCCCCATCATGCACGAGGTAGTCAAAGTAGAAGAGACAGGGCCGCAAGTGGTTTTCCGGCTCTGTGGGCAGGGTGAATCTTCCTTTACAAACCATTTCATGCTACACCACCTCCACAGTCACACAAGAGGTGTAATTATATACTTAGACTGGCAGAAGCAGGGGCCAAGTTCGAGACAGTCACTACCTCACACCTTCTGGGAAAGTATGCTTCCAAGCTCTCTTCATGGCTGGCCTCCTCCAAAAATGGTCGGATCGACACCCAAAAAACCTGTCTGGGTGGCACCGACCGGCAGGTGGACTGAATCAAAAACAAGTATATATGCATCGTCACATTGGTCGTCTTTTCCCGGAACTGGTCTGCAAATATTCATCACACAACATATGCAAAGGAAATGGGACCAAACAAAAAAACACATAGAAATATACCCAAACACTCCATGTATGCAATATATGCCTACATTGACCCCCAAAACCACCCCAATGTAGGCATATATGGCATACATGGAGTGTCTGGGATACATGAAATTACATGAACATGTATATTCAACTCATGATCTATTGTCTCCACCACTCCTCGGCCGAACGTGTGCAACGGCATGGTGGTACTTGGCTCAAAGGGCCCTATCTCGTTTAGACTACTTAAGCAGGTCATGTCACAGTATCTCGCTCAGACTACTTTTAGTAGCAAATCACACTATCTCGTTCAGACTACTTTAGTGACATCAAACAAAAGTATCTCGTTTATGTGGGGGGCCTATCTCGTTCACAAGCGAATGCTGATGATAGACAAGCAAATAGAGCATGTCGTAGACCACCGTAGTAAAGCCTAAATACAAGTGCTTGCTCATGTGGAGCCATGTGGGTCTCATCCAAGAAGCTCAAGCAGTGTTCGCGCCATCCGCTCCTGGCGCTCGTCCAGGGAGTAGGCCGAAGCACAGCAGAAGGGCACCGGCCGTTGCCAGGCCAACAAATCCTCGGAGAAACTCCCAAAAAAACCGTCCAGGCCGTGAAGAACTAGTCCGTACCAGGTCAGTTGGACGTCATTTGTACTGCTGAAGTTGATCAATAATTGCATTTTTTTACATATATAATAAAACATTTAGAAAACTATTCAAAAGGATTCAATATGAGGTTTTGTTGAGGACCAGGTTTTGCTGGGTCATTCTATACCTGTAAGGACATGTAAGGACTTGAAATCCAACAGGTATATTATCTCTCTTGTTTTTCAATCCAAGAGTCATAAGGGAGTTGTGAGAATTCCAGTGGAGAAAAAGGCATCCAGTCCGGGTGCTTGGATTCCTCCGGGCTTTCAGCTCGGCAGCCAGCCTTCACCACGCAGCTTTCCATGGAATGTCGTGAGCGATGAGTTTCACACCTCAGGTGACTCAGGTGACTCGGTATCCTCGGCACGACCGAAGAAGAAGAGGAGAGGGCAGATCGGTGGAGAGGGAAAGCCCTTGGGTCCATCCGAGTCTACCTGGGCCCGGATGATGATGGTGTTCTAAAATGGTAATATACGGTATCATTGTTTACTGACTGTTACAGGTAATTGGACAGACCCCAAGGAAGAGCCATAAAAAAAAAAAAAAACAACCATCCGAAACCCCTAAAGATGCAAACGGATTTCTTCTTGTGGAGGAGTATGACAATTAGCGTTCAAGAGTCTGGCTTCTGACATAAGTCTAGTCTGCCCATAATGGCTCACCCCATGAGTGGCGCTTTCAAAACATCCCAAAACACCAGCCATGCCGCCCCACCCCACCCTTGACCCTACCAGTACGGATGTGAATAGGTACTGTCCTTCTGGGGACTCCCAAAGACCGCCCCCCCCCCCCCCGGTCCAGCCGTGCGGCGCGTCGGAGGCCACGGCCTCCACCAGGTTGGGGGCCAAGAAGCGACGGCCCACCGTGGCGCTCAGCCGATCGCAGCTCTCCTGGAAAACAATGGCGGATCAAATCCACAAAAACATGGAAAAAGACCCGGGAAGAAAGAGCCAAACTCACTCAAATACCAGGTAAAACACGTGCTTCAATGTTTTGGGTGAAACTAATTCAGTGAGTGAAATTACGTGTACATGTGTGATACTTCGACAATACATGCGACGGAACATCCATCTAGCACCTACAAGTGCCAACCTTCTTCAACCTTGAGCATGCAACCGCTCCACCAAGCAACAGCACCGCTCCAACCTGTTCACATCTGCTAAGCAATAATGCAATCACCATTTACAAAACATCGACCCGACCTCGCGACTTGGAGTTCCATGTCGCGACTTGGCTTTTTTCATTCGGCCGTGGAGGTGAGAAAACAGCCTCCCTCTCCTCCAATCCAAAAAAAAACACATGAGCGAAGGTTCGGCTGGTCAAAGCATCGGAGCGATTTGGATGGAAACCGAACCTTGGGCACTGAAGATTGAGGTTCCCAGAATCCAACTTCAAAGCGTCAAAGCCTCACCAAACACGATCTTAGGATATGACTTATAGTCGCCCCACCGTCTCGTTTTTCGGGTCGAAGGAAAACCCTTCTCTTTTTGAAGATCCAACGTCTTTGCTCCTGCAAGTTCTTTTGGATCTTTGCCAAGTGCTTCCTCACCTGGCCAACATCCGTCTCTGCGTGGCCAAATCGGGAGGCCTCCGCCTCTCTGGCCAGTCTGGCCGAAGCCTCCCCAAAGGCCACAGAACATGCCGCAGAACAGGGGTCAAAGCTATAGCCCATAGACTCCATGTATGTCATGTATGCCGATCAGTTGGGATGGTTTGGGGGGTCAATGTAGGCATATACGGCATACATGGAGTGTATGGGTAGTGCTTATAGCATTTGGATTCTGAAATGCATATTCAATCATATTCATATTAGATACAAGTACCCCAAATGACCAAACATGGTACCGCCATGTACCCCTGCAGAACGTTTTGGAACCGATCCAAATGGTCCAGGCTAGTCAGAGTTCCACTGAACCATGGCCAATGTCATGAGTCGGAGTCAAGCTCGGATGGCCCAGAAAGCTCGGAAGTCCCAAAGCGATTGACAAGTTCGTTTGTTCTTGGAGTTCGGGTCACAACTGTGACAGGGAATGGGGCAAAAAATGGCACATCCTAACCATCAAAGACTTGATTCAAATGTCTGGAATGAGAGTGGGGACCGGTGCTCTTGTTCTTGGACTTCTGGATGGTACAAAAATACTACTTTAACATGCTCAGTGACATTGCGCTCGAGGACACCAACTCATCGAGGACATCAACTGCAACCGGATGCAACCACTACATTCATCAATAGTTATATGTACAATTTTCTGTTATATGATATCCACTGCCAAAAAAAAAGGGAACCCGTCATCTTCGACCAAACTGTGCTTCTCACTGTCGAAAATATGCTCAGAAACATCTTCGTCAGGCGGCCTTCGGGTTCAATTCCTGCAAGTTCTTGGGCAACCTGTGCTCCAAACAAAGGCACCAGGTCGGCAAATTGGGTCGTCGTCGTTGTCGTCGTCGTGTTTCCGATATCGGCTGGTGGGAGCAACAAGCAAAACCCAAAGGAGCAAAAGTAAAAGGCAGGTTTGGGTTACAATCTATTTATGAATCTACAATTCTTAATCAACTCTTGATGGAGCACCTTGTTCTTGTATACTGCTTGATCCAAAGTCACTGATGAACTGGCCTTTGGTTCTCCTGCTTACAGTAAAGGCAACAACCGTCGACTTAGGCTTGCCCGTGCTGAAGTCTTGTTCGGCCGAATCCGCCTGCCAAGGGTCAATGACTTGGTGGATGTTACATCATGTTACATCAACTAGTCAGAAGACAAATCTAGAACCTAGCCTCTTCAAAACTATTAGTAACCATAGTAACTCTATGCAACTTTGTATATGTTTTTGTTTCCAATGTTCCTTGAACATCCAGGGCACTTCCCAAGCGCTCTTCTCTCATGACCAGCTGTGGAGTCCGCGTGGCCCACCACGCGGAGGAGTCGATTCTTGTCCTCGCCAGCAGAATGCTGACACGTCCCCGGCTCCTCTGGAATGTACACTTGGAAATGGACTGCCTTAATTGTCAAGCTCTCCTATCAGTGGCTTACAAAATCTACAAATGCTTGCTAATGTTGGATCGTGGATTTGTAATAGGGTCAGCAATAGAGCGATTTGTCTTTAAAGCGAGGACAAATTTGTCTTTAAAGCGATTTTTTGAAATAAACAATAAGCATCGCCAACCCCACGGATTTGTTAAGGTCCACCTATTGTGCTAACCTTTTCTGGGATCCTATGCTTTTGGTATTTCAAAGTAGTAAACGCTTTAGATTCTTCTGAAACTGTCCACCTACACTCACCCCTCCCTTCAAATGAAAAAAGGTTTCTCTATGTTCTTCATCAAAGCTCAATGATCTAATAAAGGAAAATACATACAAAAATAAATTGCAAGGGAATCCTCCCAGGAACCCAGACTTGTTTTGCATGGTGGTTGCTTTATTTAAAACGGTCCCCCCATTAGTTTGGACGAGCGGGGGAAACCACCTTCGCAACGGTGTTTTTGCACTTGAGTTCCCAGTCGGTGCACAAAGGAACACGAAGAACTCTTGAACACCAGGTCCCAACCGTGTCGATCGTTCCGCTCTCAAGCTCCCTAGGAGTCTTCCCATCAACGTGCGTCCTTCATGGCATCCAAAACGTGTCGATCGTTCTTCTTGGCCGCCACGTGGTAGATCAACCCTTGAGACGGATCCTGACTGTGGAAATGCGGCATCTCCATGCGGTGGTATACGAACACATGTCAGTAAACAAAACATCTGGTGGTGGCCTGTTTATATCTTCATGGGTGGGATGGCACCCCAAATCTTTTAGCCACAGAACAGGCTACCCTAACGGGATTTCCTTGGGGGCGAGAACTAAATGAGAAATGATGTCATCTGTGGAAACGAGGCACCAGTGTGAATGGCGTGCTCAAGGGATGAGCGAAGTCGAACAAAAGAGTGCCTGGCCCAACGGGAAGTTGCTCTCATGTGATCCAGTGCGTTGATGCCCAGCACTAGTAATAAAGTGATCCAATGTGCTTTGTGCAAATGATATTGGCCTAGCTGTGCAAAGTAGATCAATGGCCTACGGCCTGTCTTCGTCGCCTGACTCTTCCTTGCCCGTCAGTGTGTTTGGGACTCCATGTAAGTTGTCTTTCTACCTCACCGCGGAATTCGCGACCTTCTGGAATCTCTTGCCCATGTGCACCCGCCGCAGGCACGTCGCCCTTGCCCACGGCGCACTCAGGATCTAGGGAGCACTTCTCCTGGCTTCGTCGGCCCTGGCGACGTCCCTCCGGACCATCGGGCGGTGTTCGGGAGGTGGTTCGTGAGGTGCCAGGAGGGGTCCAGTCATACCGAAGCTGAGGAGGTTGGACTGGAGCCGGAGGGATAGAAGGCTTTTTTAAAAGAAAGCAAGCAGGTCGTGAGGATGCGTGAGAAGAACAGTTGAAGAAGTTGTTTCATGTTGTTTTTGGATGTGCAACATGGACTTAGCAAACTAGTCCAAGCACATGCCAGCTTCTTCAGTTCGCGACCCCTTTGGAGTCCCCATAGAGTGACCTTTTACAGGCGTGACCCCAAACTAAGGGATCAAAAGATCACTTTGAAGAACAAGGTGCACCATTTCGTTTTAGTTTAGGGGAGTTTAGAGGGATGCTTTAAAGCAGACTGATGATTCCGGTTTGAAACCTGTTGTGCAAACTAGCCCGGTGGTGCGCAGGAAACCTGGTGCGATGCGATACTCATGCGGACCGCCGTCGGTCCTGATAGCATTCGCCAGCCCACTCCGTGAACTTTTTCCTGTCCTCATCCTCCAGTTCAAAGAGCTCACCTTTGGTCAAAGCGCAAATGCCATCCGAAAGAACACAACCTGAGCAGCGAGGAAGTTGGCAGGCTACCCACTCCCTGTGGCAATTGCTTCCGGGTGAAATCGATTTGCTGGACACCAACGGAGTTATGCGGCGTCCCGAAGCCGAGCAACAGCTCCGTAAATAGGGCATGGCTGCCATGCGCTCGCTACAGGCCTCTTGGCAGCTGGAGGGCGTGGCGCCGTCCAAAAGTTTCTCTGCCATTGCCTGGCGCCCAAAACCAGAGCCCGGAGGCCAAAAAAGAAGTCAAGACGGCGAGACGAAGGAGGTGACAGGCTTCACAAAATGAACTGGTAGCTGTTCCAAGCTCAATGCTGATCCTCTGGATGGTGTCGTTTCAGCGATGGCTATGGCAAAGTGATAGAGACTCATCCTTCAGGCACTAATTCTGAAATGTTCAGCGAGGGCATTCAGCGCTAAGCGTTCTTCCCAGGGTTGCTTCACTCAAAACCCCGAATGCAGCTCAATCAACCCGAGCAAGCCGTTGCCCATCTCAACCCCCACCTTGCTGTAGATGTCACAGCTGGAATGCTGCAGCAAACTCTCACAAAAGACCTTCCGCTTGCGGACTTTCTGCAAGACTTCCCAGGAGGTTGCATACTCCTGGGCTTGGATGCAGCTATCTGTATAGACCTCGCGGACGCGAGGTCTTAGCCCGTGATCCCTCGAAACTTCACCACCATGAAGCACCAGTCTTGGACCGGTCCGATCTTTTTCAGCATTTGTCTCGTGAAACCCAGCGACCATGACCTCCAGCGACTGACCGACCTGTGACTGCGATGATCGACGGATCGGCAAACCCAGTGTGACTCCTTCTCCTTCACCAGGTGCTCTGGCAAGACATACTCCGCCCGATCCGCAAACCTCAGATCGTGCGGGTGGGTGGGCCCATTTTCGGTCCCTGGCCTCATCAAGCCTTTCTCGGTGCCCTTTCGGCGGAGGCCGCTGTGCGCACGGATCACCTGCATAACGCTGTACTTCGGAGTCTCCATCAAATCCGACAGCTCTTCCACTGGAGTTTTTGCCCCGAAGCTTACTCTCTTGAAAGGGTTTTCTTTGGTTTTCCATGTGCATCCAAGCGAGCCCTCCGCGTCGTTTTTTGATGTTTTTTGGGTGCGGCAGGGTGCAACTGAAAACCGGTCACACTCGGGCGATCTTCGCCTCTCGTGCAGTTCGAGCAGCTGTACGAAGACTTCAGATTCCAAGTCCTGCAGATTTGCAGCGGAGTTTTGGCTGGGCGGATCCCCATGATCTGGTAAGGAAGTGGTTACACAGAAAAGGAAGCCCTGCAAACCTCTGACATTCAAGACCTCACAGACCTCAAAAATTTCGACATGAGCTCCAACGGCATGAGCTCCAACCAAAAACAGCTCCACCAAAAACCCCAAAATTTGGGCGAAGGATCCCCCACGCCTTCCTTCAGTGCACCCCTTCCGGTCGGCGGACACCCTCCAAAAACGGGGGCATGATGTTGATGTTGCCCAAACACTCCATGGGACTGCCATATATGTTGATGAGTTGGGGTGGTTTTGGGGGTCAATTGATCGGCAGTCCTATGGCATACATGATCGGCAGTCCCATGGAGTGTCTGGGTTGCTCCCCTGGGATTTTCGGGAGTTTGCGGTGATTTGCGGTCCGATCCTCATCGAATCCACATCAAGTATACGGCGCCTTCAGGTAAACAAGCACTGCTGGTGAGCAAGTGCGCCATCACAAAACCTATAGAAACACATGTTTGTGTAAAAAGCGCCAAGTCTTGGAGTCTTAGCTGAGATCCAGATATATGTGATATATGATATACATATAGGTACCTCAAGCCACCAAACGCTTCTTTGCAGAGCCATGGGCCCCCACTGGGCGCTGAAAGATGGACACATAGACAGGCACCAACAAAGAAACCAACTATTAGAGGGGAACTAGTAGACAGTCATCCTGACGGAAAAAAATCATCCTATAGCAGTCATTCCAACAAAGAATCATCCTAGGAATCCAACAGAAAAAATGAATACACCATGTTAGGGAGAGGAATCATTCTATGACATCAAAGAGGTTTTAAACAAATAGCAATAACAAAATAGATAAAAAAAAACACAGTAGAACAATCGCTCAAAGTGGAGCTGGTTCAAGTGATTTTTGGTTGGTTGAAAAATCACGTCCAATTTCAGCAGGTCCAGTTTGAACAACTCCCTGCCGAAAGAAGAGACGCTCCATATGGCCCAGCAGTCCAAAAACCATTCCCTCCTGGCGCTCCTGAAGGTTCCAGTCTTCCAACACCTTCCCCTCCACCGCGAGCTCCGCCGTCTCCGCCGCGGAGCTCGCGGAGAGGCGCAAGCGGACCGCGTCGCCGGTGTGGAATTCGGCACCGGCGAGGCCATCCGGCGGCAAAGGGCAGGTGAAGGCATTGAGGAGGTGGAAGCGCTGCCTTGGTGGGTTTGATCACCAAGGCAGCGCAAATGTTGAGACAGGTAGGCAGGGTGGGCAGTGGGCAGATCAGGCGATTTCCATCGGTCTTTTTCCAACAAATCTGTATATAAGATTATATAAGCACTTGAAGCTGGTCAATCAACGTTCTGTTCTATGGAAATCAGGTGTCAATGAGAGTTGAACATAACAAGAGTTTTGCGTGTGGAACCAGTGGTGAATGTGCTTTTTCTCAACTTGACAGGCTCTCAATGGCCCCACAGTTCCCCGCTGGTGCGTTTCTTCTGTTACTCTTCAAGCACATCCATTTCAGTATGTATGTGTCAAATCGCGCAAATACCCCCCTGTTTGAAATCTATCTCAAACAAATAGAATCTGATCTGTGCAAAGCATTCGGAACAATCATCACCTTCCAGGTGGCCCACCCTCGATGGCAACAGCTTGGCAGGATTCCTTGGAGGTGCAAATCAATTGTATAGAGAATAGGGATTACAAATCTGACCCCTGACCTAATTCACAAGCATGGTACCCGAGTCACAAGTCTGGTTAAAAAAAAAGAAAACAAAACGGCTGCTAGAATGTAGAACCCTTTTTCGGCCCCTGTGTGCGGTCAAAAGTTAAGGCTGGCTCTTACTCCACGACAAACGTCAGTTCACAAGCTGTTTGGGCCGGTGTCACTCTCTAGAACGGGGGATATTGGTGGGTCCGCGCCTCTGGGTTGCTCATGTCAGCCTCTTGAAGAAATCTCTTGAGGAACTGAGTTCGATCCACGGAATTGGAAATCCAGATGGATCGAGTGACCTGAAGAAGTGACCGGCCTTTCAGGGCCTGAAAATGCTTGGAACCCAGCATATGATCTATTTACATTTTAACCATTGAGACAGCTTGGCAAAAGCAACGCGCTATGGAATATCTCCAACAATGCAATTGTGCCAAAAAAAATCACCTGATCATCAAATCCAACGCCAGGAAATCAACATCTTGAACAACCATGCCATAATGGTTAAACATGATTCGAATAAGGTTCAAGGGCCTGCTTGGGCAGCAACATACACTCTAAATTCTCAAGCCAAGAAACAATAAACCACACAAGTAAGCTCCAATGAAGTGTCTGGAGCCCTTCATCCCTATCCCCACTCACCCCAGGCAAACCAGGAGTCCTGTCCATCGCATGCGCTGGTGGCCTCTTCTAAGCTGCCAACTTCCGACAGCACCTACGGTTGAACAAATGTCGAACGAAAAGAACTGAGGACAATAACATTGGTAAACAGAACAAACACCACCAAAGTATATATGTAATTAGAAATATTATAGATGTAAAAGTTATGTACATGCCCATGCTCCATGCATTTACATGACTCATAGTTATATATATATATATGGTTGTTCTCTTTTGTTCACGTGTTGTCTTCGTTTCGTGGTTCCGTACGTGTTAAGGCTCAAGTTCAGGTGTGCACGGCAGATCACGGCAGTGCAGGCCTGCCTCAAACCGAAACCGAGTTCACCTTCACCGATGAACACCTCCGGCATCACTGAACCCCCCCCCACGCGTGCCCGTCAGCGTGCGCCTGGATGGGTCCGACATGAAGAAGGCTGGGCAATGCTTGAAGAGGATTGCTGCAGGTAAACTCAGAATACTCGAACCTGGCGTGCCGGCGCCGAAGGCATGGGGCGGGGGATGAGGGATGCATCTGCCACTGCAAATGTGGCACAAGTTGTTTTACAACTTCCAAGGGGCAGCCACCCAGCCTGGTAGCAAAACAGGGCACTCGGCGTACGGACCGTCTTTGGATGTCTTTGGCATTTGCGGAAATGGGTAGATCTGCCACGGGTTGTTGTTTGTGTATGTCCAATCAAAGAGGACCTTAAAACACCGTTTTTTGGCCCGCCTGGACACGGGTACCTGGTCTTCAAGCCTCTTGCTGGGCGCCGGGTCGTTGGCCCAAATAGTGGAGAAGGGCACCATTTCACGGCAAGAGTACTGTTGGATCTTCAAGATCGCTTTGCCTTCCTGGGCTGCAAGGGACTGCAGTGTGAGCATTCATGCCAGGTTTTTTGACACCAAGAACTTAACCGGAAATCCCTTGAAAAAAATGTTATTTACACTCAATGGAACTAGCATTGAAGTGGAAAATGGTCCCATGGAAAACTATTTTCCATTATTTTCCTCTCCAAACAAAGTGTTTTTTCACTTCCATGTTAGTTCCAGGGAGAGTAACCCTTTTCCACCTGCTCGCTTTGAGTGGGGCGGCACCGCATCCAGGAACTTCCACTTGGCTGGGTAGGTCAATTTGGGCGGACCACATGAGGAAGGTCCAGGGAGCACTTCCCCGCTGAGCCAGTCGTGGCACGGCAGAGTTCTTACTTCTCACCCAGGTCTATAACTGCAAGGAACCGTAAATTTTCACACATGACACCTGTGCAGCAGTCCAAAGCCCTAAATTCGATTTATGTTTGTTTTTAAATTACCGCCCTTTCAAGCCACTACTGAACTACCAACATGGTCGATTTTGGGGGTAGTTTCCTTTTATTAGGTTCCAAAAACAACCGTAACTGCCCACATCTGTCCGCCCTGTGTATCCACCATGACACGGCGCGTTTACACCAGCAGGTTTTCCTTCCTCCAATGGCACGGACTCACGCAAACGCACTTTCCACCAAGGTCGTGCAAAACCGCATGGCACAGCGACATCACCTTTCGAAAGCTTTGGTTGTTAGTCAAAGGAAAACCCTTCGATCTGGAGGTTTTTTGAACTTTTGATACGAGTTTAAAACAGGATTTTATTATTCTATATAATTGTTTTCTGGATGACTTTTTGGTTTTGAAGCTCTTCCCAGGTGACCCATTTTGGACCCCCCGATTTCAGGACCCCCTATTTAAAAAATGCGACCGAGTTTCTCTTAATAGGGGGGGCGGCGTGTTTTTTAATACAGTAGGTGGGCAGGATTACACAGCTGTTAGAGGATCTTCGACCCCCCCATCAAGAATCAGCTTTGTGGCTTTGTGGGGCACTAGGAACCACCGGAACATACCGGAACCTTGCCTACTGGCATTCACTCACCTCTTGCAAAGGACCATGCTCTTCCAGGACCTTCTAGTCCATCTTCGGGTTCTATGTCAGTCAAAGGATGTCAAAGGTATCTTTGGGTTGAAGCCATCCACCATCACCCCCATTCCGCCCACATCCGAAACTTGCGACCAAACCATTCTCGTCTGGTCGAACCAATGACCCATTTGCTGCAACTGACTAGATCGGCATCTAAACCTCAACACGACTGGGACGAACGCTGGTTTTTGCCCGACGGATCTGGTGCGTCCGATTTCAGTCCCATGATAAACGTCCGGGGTCGTTGTCCTCACCATCGCACGAGCCGGGTGAAGGTCACGAGCCGGGTCCGATGAAGGCCACCAAACAGTACTGGAGACTCTGGAGGCCTTGGGTGGGTTCTGGAGACGGAAACTCTGGGCTTCAGGTAAAACGGTGGGTTTCCTGGCTCGGCTTAAGGTAAGCAATTCTGGGAATAGCACAAAATATCATCCTTCGGAGCTGAAGCCCAGGCGCTGGGCTTTCCTCGCAGCCCACCGAGATGCGGCCGTACAAGAAGGAAAGCCCCTCGGACATATCGGGATCCTGGGCCGTCCAAGTAAGACGAGGGCCAAGAAACCCAAAAGATTCTAAAGATGGAATGACCTGTCAAATAAAGGGTGCCGATTAATTGATTCGTTTGTGTGTTTTCTTTTGTGTGATTTGTTCATCCTGAAGACTCACAATTCGCTGCTATTTACAGCAGTTTGGGCTTCCTGTTTACAACCCTTTGGACATGCACTCCCCTGCCATGTCAGCAGTTGAGGATCACATTTCGCTGCTGGAGCAGCAGTTGGGGTGTCCTGTCTTGACATTCTGTTGGTATTTACAACGTTTTGGGCATCGCATCCTCTACATCCACACAGTGCAGCGTGGTCGACAAACAGCTGAGTTTTCGTGGCAGGCACAGCATAGATCAGCATAGTAATAGTTAGATATATTAATATGTATATGCAGAGGCAACAATTAATGTAAAACAACTAATGCAAACAAAAACAGCAAATGCAAAAGCAACAAAAGCAAAACAACAAAATCAACATACATAGATAATCATAGACAAATAACTAAAACAGCAACACAAACAACACAATCCCACTACAACATACATTGTTTGACATATATTATATGCATTAATAAGCCATATACATCCAATTACATCCATTTCCCCTGTTTGGACCTCCAAATGCACCCAACTGATCCCAGCTGCCCTTGCATTGCCCTCTACATATATGACTTTGCATGCACTGCTGATGTACCTGGCGTCTGGTGAATCAAGTCCCTTTGGCAACAGGCCTTGATATTTCGGTTCCTGGGTTCTCCCATGGGCTCCCGGGTCCCCAGTCTGTCCCATCCCAGCGTCCCAAATCTCAGTGTTCTTGTCCTCCCAGAGTGGTGGGCTTCTCACCAAATCGGCACACCAGCCGCTCTCCTGGTAGCCCAGCGCACCATCTGGTGTTCTTGGGACTTAGGAAAACATCGGAGCATTACAGCAGGGGGACCAAAAACTCCCCATCAACGAACATCGCGTCGTCAACGCTCCAGCTGTTCCCGTCGAAAGCGAACGAAAGGTCCTGCTCTCCCACCATCAAATCTCTGCTCAATATGAAGTGATGTTCTTCGTCCACGTCTGAGTTGGGGTTCACTGCCTCATAGATCGGGTGAAGTATCAAAAAAAACTATTTATCGCATCAATAAAAAATTATTCAAGGGGATCAATAAAAAACGAATTACTTAATCAAAAAATAATAATTCTACCACGAACCCTCTTTGGGCTGGGCGTCGGCCTGTATACTAATCTCTTTCCTCCTGCCTGGCCTCCTGGCTAACAGGCAGTTTCCGCTCAGAGTCGAAATTCGTGGCAGGAATCTTGTGGGGAGGGGGACGCGCCTCCCCCTATGAGCAGACACGGCTAACGCTTTCAGGTATGTACTACATTTTTCTGAACTAACGTGAGTGATTAAATGTTTGATGGTTTTTTCTTTTCTGATTATTGGAGTAATTTCATTCTATTTCATACATTTTGTCAATTCTGTAATGCATTATATTAAATCACGTTTCCTGTCTCTTCCTGGCTTTCTGGCCTCTTTTTTACAACAGCAGCAGCTTTAGTTTTTAAAAGTCAAGTTTCCGCTCAAATCTTCCTGTGTGTCATACTAAGTTGTTGGTTCCTGGCTGATTGGCTTTTTTGTCTAGAATAACAGCAGCTTTAATGTTCAACAGGCAAGGTTCCGCTTACAGTCAGATTTCGTCGCAAGACTTTTGAATAGCATTTGCAGATTTGGTGGGCAAGGTTTACCAAGGTTCCACTAAAAGCCTGATTTCATGGCAGGAACGTTGAATACTATCTGCAGATTTCGTTGCGCGGGAGGGGGGTTGGGGGGAGGGCGCAGCGCCTCCCCCCCACGAGCGCTCGGAAAAAACATGCAATGAATTATACAGAGCCAAACGAAAGTCAGGAAATCTATGTACAGGAGTAAGACACATCGAGTGGTAGAATCGGCCTCCTGTTCGAAAAGTGTAGAGGCAGGGTGTGAGTATCAAGATCAAATCGGCAAAAGTGAGTGCGTGAGTCAAGTTGAAATGGCAACATCCTTCTCTAAATTTTACCCTCGGGTGGCTCACCAAAGGGTGAGTCAACTTGGAAGGGCAACATCCTTCTTTAATTTTTACCCCTGCATGGCCCACAAAAGGGTCAGTCAAGTTGAAATGGCAATTTACCCCTGCATCACAAAAGGGTGAGTGAACTTGGCATAGCCACTTCCCTCTCTAAATTTTAGCCCTGCATTGCACACAAAAGGGTGAGTCAAGTTGGGGTGACCACTTCCTTCTCTAAATTTCACCCTGCCCACAAAAGGGTGAGTCAAGAAATGGCAAC